TGTGTTAAATCGGATTATTTCCTTTCCCCTTGTATGCTATGTGACTGGTATAGAGATTGACTCACAATGCAATGTAACTCAATGCAAGGCTTTTTGTACTGAACCTCCCTTTAGTGGCAGCTTGGTACCGGATTGTCGCTTTGCCGATTGCCCGCACAATATATATTTTGGTGAACTAACTCATTATGGAGACCCAGTTAGTCAGTTGGTTAGTCAGGAAGGATTTAACATTAGTTAGTAGCTTGCACAAGTGAATGGTTTGCTTTATGCCATGAACCCAAAGCTCAAGTTTTTTGGCTTTATTTGCTGCATTGCTAAATAAATGTGCTGGCCAAACCTGCTTAGACTGTTCCTGGGTTCTCGCTGTCTCCTGCATGGTTTACTGTAGTCAATGCCAGTAGAGCATATCTGCCTTACTGATATAGATTGTGTGTGTGTGTGTGTGTGTGTGTGTGTGTGTGTGTGTGTGTGTGTGTGTGATATATATATCTTAAAAAATTTGATGGTGTCTCACCAGTCAGTTAAAAATGTCACCAGTCAGCATGACTGGACTATAGCCTTGCAATTTATGTAAAACAATTTTGGGGACAGATGGAGCTTTCTTTTGGAGGTATAAATAGTCACTCTCCGCAAAATCGCAAGAAACGCCCGTAGGCGACGATTAAAACGCTTCTACTGCTCATCAGTTTAGTGTTATCTGTGATTTAATGGCTCTAAAATTATTGCTCTCACTCCTACGTTTGCGGCGATTTGTAACGTGTGGCACAATAGGCGCATTCGTCGTTTTCACACGTAGGCGCACCCGGCGCATATATGCCTGTGTATGTGGGGGGCGGGGACTTTAAAAAAATGTGTTCTTTTTATATGCTTAATTTTTTGTTATGATTCTTTAATTTTTTTTTACACACATCTTTATTGCTATTACATGGGGGGCTAAGAAGCCCCCTATGTAATAGCCAATTTACATGACAGGTCCTCTTTATGGAGACATCCGGGGTCTTCAAGACCCCTAATGTCACCTAGGGACCCCCAGAGAAGCTAATGAAGCAGAGATCTGCTTCATCAGCTTCTGTAGCTGGAGAGTGACACTGAATGCAGGAAGTGATGTAATATACATCACTTCCTGCATTCGGGGACTGAGAGGAGATCAAAGAGAGTTCGTAAACTGAACTCCCTTTTGATCTCCTGTCACAGAGCCGTCCCGGCCGCATCGGGCACAGTGGATCTCGGGACTGGCAACGGCAGTGACAGCTGCTGCTAATTCGATCGATCGGGCATCTCGAGGCGGTAGGTCGCCGTTAACTCTTACAGCGTTGCTGAGGGAAATATCTAGCACTTGTGAAGGGGGCAGTGAGGTGAAGACTTTACAAGGAAGCAGCAGCCTGTAGGTAATGGGATACACATCATTACACATATCTAAAGTGTTTGGTGCCATATTCCAAAAATAAGTAAATAAAAATAAACTTGAGCTCTTAGCATCAAGATATGGAGGATCGATGGACTCAACCTTGACTTTACAGAAAACATTGAGATGTGCATATAATTTTAGCTTTATCTGTTTCTAAATGACTATTTTGACGTGTGTCTTGATTGATGATAACCACTACAACAAATGGGTTGTCTGCATTTTGACTAGTTTATGTTAAAGATGAACTCCAGGCAAAACTTTATTTTCCTGTTTTATGTAGAGTGGGAGAAGGTTAAATACTCTGTCATCTCTTGCCATCTGTGTCTCCAGAACACAGCAGTCAGAACCGACATCCTAACTTGAGGAGTTGGGGGAAATTTCATATTTTGTTTACTAATTTGTAGGAATGCATAGATACTAGTATCTGTATCGGTGCCGATACAGAGTATTTGGGCGAGCACTCGTACTTGCCCAAATGCTCCGATACCTTCCCCGATACCGGAGCTTCTGGTCAGAGGAAGATTTCCTCTGACCGGCAATGCCAGAGGGGACATGGAGTCGGCTTCCTGGGCAATCAGGAAGCCGGGTAACGAGTAATGACCCGCTTCCTGATTGGGCGGGAAGCCGGCTCAATGCTGATTGGCTTGGAAGCCGCTTTCCCGGTCAATCCCAATTGAGCCGGCCAAACAACATGGCATTGGCTTTCCAGGCAATCAGGAAGCTGGGCGGCATGTCATCGCCAGCCGCTCAGGCTTCCTGATTGCCCGGGAAGCCTGCTCCATTCCAGGGGAAGCAACGGTATCGATACTCAGTATCGGTGAGTACCGAAAACAACATATCGGTACTCGGAAACAAAAAACCGGTATTGGTGCATCCCTACTAATTTGTGTTGAGATTGTAGTCCATCACGGGAGCGAGCTTGGAGCAGTGGCTACTTTGCAACACACAGAGGGACCATGGGGAACAAATGTAGCTACCATCCAGAAGAAAGGACAGTGTCAGCACCAATTCAGAGATGATTTGAGGATCTAAAGCTGAGTGATACACAAATAAGATAAATTTTTTTACTAGTTAAGGTACTTGAATGCTTTTTTTTAGATTTAACTCCTGAGTTTAGTGTCACTTTAACGACAAATACAACTTTTTTTTTTAAACTTATTAGTAAATATAAATTTTATTACAATTATATGTATTTTTGCTAGATAATTGCAGACATTTTTTTTTTTACCTTGGACTAGATTTTCCTTTTGCCGAGGCTTGCCTTCTGCTAATAAAGCTGTGCAGTCTAATCCTGCTTTTTTCTTAGATCTTCTTTTCCATGGACACGTCCATATTTGTTAAGTTGAGGACAAATCTCCTGAAGTCAGCAGCCTGAAGAGAATGTCTTATGATCTATATTTCACTTAGTGGCCTGCAGCCAAGAGCTAAGTGATATTATCCATGTTCACTGACTTCCATAACTAATGTATTTTGGCCCCTGCCCCAGCTCCACAGTCAGAGCTGTGTGCAATACTGATGGGGTGATTACCATATTATCCTGCGCTTCCAGCCCATTTCATAGACCCCCTGTGATCTTAACATTTGCCTGACTTCTAGACAGCCGGAACAGTGAACTAAACTAACACCTCGGCTGTTACTCTTAACAGTTAACGATCAGTCGATCTGCGCAAGGTGTGTGTGTGTGTGTATAATAACATTAACAAGGGATAATATGAAAATCTGGTATATGTAATAGACGCTCTGTCACTTTTCCCTCATGACCACAAGATGGTGCTGATCGGTTGGTGCCAAGTCTTGCAATCCCTCAGGTAGTGACTTCTACTGTTTATGGATTACCGTGTTGAGAAGTACTTTGTGACAAGGAAAAACTCATTCATGATTCAGATGTGACCAGAAGCTGCCATTCTTTGATTTAGCTTCAGGTGTTTGTGAGTTTTTTTTTAATGTATAGAACAGATTCTTGCGTACTGCTTTTTTTCCCAAGCCAGTGGTAATGCAAAGCAGCCTATAGAAGCTCAGAAGGAACTCTGAAGCGTCTCAAATGCAAGTTGAATGCACTCAGAAACGCGCTATATCTGCTGTCTACACAAGGTCCTTTTTCCTCTAGTGGCACCTAATGAGCTCCAGACTTCCTCATACTTTGACAGTTTTACTTCCTTCAATGCATCATGGTGACTAATAACACCGCTGACACACAGTGTGCAGAGCTGGAAATAGTCAGATAAAGGGTTATTGGTTTTTTCTTGACTTATACCTGCTTTGCAGGGACATGCTAGAGTAGAGTAGCGGCAGCAATCAGGGCTAGGATTAAATACAAATTTACCAAAAGTACCAAATCGGTCCCCTCCAGTGTTGTTGTACTCTCTCACCGGCGCTTCCATCTTCTCTTTGGTCTCCTGCATTTGGCATCTTCGGCCTAATGATTGGCTGTCCGGCATGATATAACATGCACACGTGAGTTAATTCATCTCGGCATGCCAGATCTGTGTGCTGAGATTTGCGTACAAAGAAAAAAAACAAAACGGATTTATGGCAGAAGAGACTTACAAATTCTCTTCTAATGTAGAAAGCCTTCCAGTCAGCCTTTTTTGTGGGGGAAACTTTACTTTTTCTTTAAAGGAGAACTATGAGATGAGTGATTTCCACTCACCTCATAGTTCTTGCCGACTTGTGACAATGAGACTGTCACAGGTCGGCTCAGTAGATCGGAAGATGAGCGAACCCATACCGGGTTCGCTCACCTCTCGATCCTGTCACGGCTCCCTGCCGCGACAGGAGGAGGGGCTGGATTCCCCTCTCCCCGCTCCGGCTGCCAGCGCTGACTGGCAGAACGGACGGGGGAGGGGGCGGGTACAGCTGGCTCTGACTACAAATCTCGGCAATACATTTTACAGCGATGCAGAATAATACCATCAGCTAGAGAGGACTACAATACTACTATTATAAAGACCTAACATGTAAAAATATGCATTTACTGGATACCTGTGCTAAAATTATTATTATTTTAACATATTGCCAACGTATACACTTTAACACTTATCCTAAAAGTAAACGTATTGAGAGATGTATACAGGCTGCAGTTGTTGGTGCATTCACTTCCATGTTTTCTGAGTTGCCTGGCTGTTAATGCCGGTGCATCAGCTTCAATACTTTGACATGTAATTTACTGTAAAAAATTCTGAAGCCACATACAACCAGGAGACTAGCATTTCTCAGAAGGCGACCATCAAGAGTAGTCCACATATTTCTCACAACAGATACACTTTGACCTAACCATTCAAATTATCCAAAGTTGCAGCCCCTAAAATTCCCGATTTGAGTAAACTGTCATTTATATACAAAGCCAGTACAGCAGAGTACAGTAATTGGCAGAGGAACTACTTATTTTCTGGATTGTAACATCAGGGTTGAAGACTTTGTGTAATGTTAGAAACAGGCTCTCAATGACCTTTTGCACAAATCCTTGGTTTAGGATGGATTAGGTTTTGTAACTTGTTTCATCATTTATGCTATTTTTGGGTCATTTGTATTCATAAGTCATTTCTTGTGTAATTAATGTTATCCATGTTTGTTTGTTTATTTTGTTTTTCAGATAATGATGAGTACAGGCCGCCAGTATGGAAATCTTACTGTAAGTATTACATTGTGATAACAATCTGTATTGTGTGTTTATTGAAAAATGCAGCTACTGGGAAACGCATTAAATTGCACATGCTGTTGAAATATTTGCTGATAAGTGCTAAAAATTGGCGAGGAAAGTTCTGTAATTTTGATGTAATCTAGAGGAAACAGGAAAGGCCGCAGAGCCTGAAGCAGCTTCTGGCTTTTTAACCATCTTGTTTCCTCATTTATTTAAAAAACAATTGTCAACGTCAACTCTGTGTTCAAGGCTGCCTGGATAATAAAATGATAGCAAATAATGCTTCGGCTTTGAGCATCACGCATGATTATTGTACCATACACAGTGGCTCAGGTGCTCCTTATAGGACAGGAGAATGTTCTGACTTGTTGGAAAATTATTCTGCTGTTGGTTGCTGAATCTTTACTACTCTGTGTAGAGTGTACGAGAAATGCCACTATCCTCTGTGGGTAGGGATTGCAATGAAGACAAGCACTCGTGTATGCCCATCCTTCTCAGGGAGTTATCTCCATGTCTATGACCAGCCTTAAGGTGCCCATACACCTTGCGATTCTCGTTTGACTTCCAAACTAAATCGTTTTTTCGTACGATAATCGGCCAGTTGATGGGAAGTCAACTATCAGAATTACTGTACAACTGGCCGAATTTCGTCTATCGGGCAGGCTAGAAAGTGTTTTTCGAATCGTAGGGAAATCGATGGATAAGTGGCGTTTTTGTACGAAAAAAATCGCAATATGAACACCACACATGCGCAAAAGAAAATCCGTTCTGTCGATTGAAAATCGGCCAGTTAGTATTGCTAATGAATGATAATTGAAATCCACATTGGTCTGTGCATGATGGGTTATTTGTGCGGAAATGGAACGATGGTTCGACGATGGGATCGGCCGCCGAAGCATATCTGCCAAAAATGGCACTTTTGGCTAAATGCCGAAAGTGCCATTTTTCTGCCGATACAGCGGCGCATCCCTGCTTTCTTTCCTCCCCGCTGGGCACTGCTCTTTGTCCCAGCGGGGAGGAGAGAAACTGTGACAGCCGAGCGCTGCGGGAGGAAAGTGCTGTGAGCGGCTTGCGTCTCTTCTCCCACACCACTCAGCCTCCTGTCACAGTCCGGCAGAGCGATGTGTGGGCAGATACAGCCCGCGCTGTCACAGGCTTAGCTCTCCTCCCACACCGCTTGCTCAGCCTCCTGTGACAGCTGTCAGAAAGGAGAGCGAGAGCAAACACTCAGTGATCAGTGATCGTTGAGTGTTTGTAGATAATTGTAGACACAGTATGGTTACTATATCCTCAATTATGAATGAATGGGAAGTGATCTACATCACCTCCTGTTCATTCATGATTGTGGTTATAGTAAACATACTTTGTCCTCCATGTTATGAATTAACAGGAACACTCAGCATAGAGGATTCCTGTTCATTTATAACAGGGGACACAGAAAGAGAAGACTTTGTGTCCTCAATCTCTTTTTCTATTTTAAAAGGGAAATATCAGGGGTCGGTTTAGACCCCAATATTTCCCCAAAGCCCCTAAAAGTAAAGTAAAAAATAAAAATATTTAATAAAAAAAGAATAAATAAATAAAAATTAAAAAGTTTATGAAAAGTAAATGAAAAAATTAAAATAAACAATTTCAGTTTCGGCCTGACATTTTTAAAAAAAAATTTCGGTTTCATTTTCGGTTTTGATATTTCCATTTCGGTGCACCTCTAATCATATGTCATTGCTGGTATCGGTGTACAAGTAACACACTTTGTAATTGCCTTTTGTAATGCGTCTGATTGAAACGTGCAAATAGGACATTAATCCAACCTATGTACCAGTATTTGCTACTTATAATTTTGATGGTTTCCGTTAATACTGTATACTACTCGCCTAATGTGCAGATTTTGTTTGAATAGGAATGCTCTTTTCAGACATGTTTTATTATTATTGTTATTATCATGTAAAGCAGCACTTGTTACATGTTTTATCCAGTATATCAGCTGCAGCAAGAGGCTCCGCATCCACGAAGAATTACCTGCACACAGGAGGTAAGTAGCCATGCTGTCATACATCAATACTTAAAACATGTAGCCCTTCATAGAGAGAATTCCATTAAAATCTTGGATATTTGCAGTATAATAGGACGGTTGCTACCCTGTGTATAAAATGGAAACGACTTCTGAGGGATCTTCTTCAACAATAAGTGATGGGATGGTGGAAGTAGTCATATGATTTTAGTTATGCATGTCGTCCTTGTATAAATACTTCTGTTGTGCCTGCACGATATCCTGGGGCTTTATGTTCAGATGTTACAGAAGCGTGTAGAGTCGCCTTTGTCCAGAGCGGCATACCCAATATACACTCGGCATACAGCACATTCTCAATGGTCATGAGAAGAATTATTCTACTCATGACTCAATGGTCATGAGAAGCTATTCTGGGAGTAGCTCTGTTACACCACAAGCAGGACTTCAGTTTACCAGATTACTGACAAAGTATTGGAATGGACTGGTGCACTAGAGCATTGTCTGGCTGAAAAACTGAATGGATGCACCTCGAGGTTTATTTTTCCACTGTGACTAGAGTGCGTCTTCAAGGTTTTACAGAACAAATCTCTCGCATAGGTTGTTTTATTCATGGGTATAGATTAAGTTGAATATCCTTAACACAATGCATTATGTTTATATATTTATTTTTTTAAAGCTGCATTTAAATTCTAAGGCTCCATTCACACATAGTGGTAACATTTTCCACGCGGAAAACCGTGCGGCAAGAAAACAGTACGTGTGGATTTTGCTAATTTGCGGCTATTACTATAGCCCCAAATGTGCGGAATCCGCCCAGAAAATTGGTTTTTGAACCTTTTTACGGGACGCCTGTTTTCGTACCAGGCGGACACCGCACTAGCGTGAACAATGCACATTAGAATGCAATGATTTTTTTTACATTTAGCGTGTTTCTGAACGTACCAATACATTCGGCAAACCCGCTCTTGTGTGAATGGAGCCTTATATCATTATGTATATTCAATTTTCTTTGGCTCCTTAAAGTGACACTGAACTTAGAAGTTAAAGGAGAACTATGAGGTGAGTGCTTTTCACTCACCTCATAGTTCTAGCCGACCTGTGACAATGAGACTCACAGGTCGGCTCAGTAGATCGGGAGGTGAGCGAACACATACCGGGTTCGCTCGCCTCTCGATCCTGTCACAGCTCTCTGCCGTGACAGGGGAGGGGCTGGATTCCCCTCTCCGATCTGCCAGCGCTGACTGGCGGTACGGGAGGGGGCGGGTACAGCTGGCTCTGCCTCTAGATAGGCAGAGCCAGCTGTCACTCACGCAGCTGGGCGGATCCCGTCATCTACGTCGGGATCCGCTGCGGCGTCTCAGTATACCGCGAGCTGCAGCTCGCGGTATACTGAGCTTAGGGTAACGGGAGGACGCTAGTTTGTGTCCTCCCGTTACCCTAAGGAGAACTATGGGGAAAAACACTGACCCCATAGTTCTCCTTTTAAACCTTAAAAATGCTTCCAGGCACACTAACTATTAACAAAAATGTATCTTATTTGTTTATCACTCTTTGTAGATCCTCAAATCATCTCTGAATTTTAGGGCTGCAACAACTAACCAATGAAATCGATAATGAGAATCGCTGTCAACGATTAGTTGATTCAGCTCAGCAGCTGCAACTTTTCTTGGCCGTTCTCTCACCCTGCCCCCTTCCTCTCCCCCCAAGCCATGTGCGCTTGTATAGCTCCTTTGAAGTGGAAAGGTGACCCTAAGGGTCTAATGTTACCTTAAAGAGAACCTGTCACCTCCAATGTGCCATCACATAGGGTGGTTGTGAGCCTCCCATGTGATAGCAATGAAGTTAACATAAAAAAGTTTAAAAAATAAAGGTAAATAAAATAAATGTAACAAGACCCCATCCCCCCCCTCCCCCGCAAATGCGCGCATAGGAAACAAGTCGAGTGCACCTACGTACAACAATGACAATTGTGCTATACATGTCGGGTATTGCTGTGTGCACCAGAGTGAGAGCAAAGTTCTCAATATTCCTGGCTAATTCTAAACTGATATACAGATGAAAAATGTTCCGGAGGGCTTGGCAGCGAAAGGGTTAAAGGTCCTGAATCCCAAGGGGGATAGAAACCTCTCAAGGATGTGACTGTTCTTTGACTCCTGGTAGCACACTAGTTCTGGAACGGTGATGCTGCTCACAGTGAGGGTGCATAGGTACAGGTACTAGAGCCACTAGTACATGGTTCAGGAGTAGAAGATTGGCAGGGGTTTTTTTTTTCAAGTCTGTCCTTTTGTGTTTTGAAATGCAATCCAATGCATTCCAATGGTATTTTTAGCTCCAGTTCACACCGCAGCGTTCCGGAACGCATCAAAAACGCGGCACAACCCACTGCACTGCGTGTGCAGAAACTCATGCAGATCTGGTCTGCATTTGGTGTGAACAAGGCCTTAGGGATATCATTTCTATGCTGCTTTGCTGTTCTTGCTAGAGGTTTGGGCATGATGAAGCAAAGTCCTGCCTCTACCAAGATGGCCTTCCCCACACAGAGACAGTGCAGAACGAGGCATGGTAAGCCAGCTTTAGTACTGCTTGCTACAAACTGAGGCATGCTGGGAATAGGCGGCATCCTGGGCTGGCCTACAGATATTTTGTTTCCCACTGTTCAATAATCCTGTAGTCAGCAATATAACCAGGCAATGGACTCCAGGGAAAGGGTTTCACGGTGAGTACAATTCTTTTGTTTTTTTCCATGCAAAACTATGTTAAGAAAAGGACATAGCACAAATATCAATGTTAATATAGCAGAAATGTTGCTTCTGGATTGTTAAACATTTATTATTTCCCTTAATTAGAAATGTTTGCATATCATGGAAAGGTCATTGTGGGAGTCCTAGTAAATACAGCTGTAGTGTTTACTAAATACAGCTGGGTTATTGTGCTCTAAATATTTATTATGGTTTTCTGCTTGTTCATAAACAGAAATAAACTTAAAGAATTCAATGTAGCTGAGGGGTGGGTGTATAATACAGCTTTTAGTTTTATCATACTTAGTTAAGACATTTTGACACTTATGAGCATTTTGAGATTTTTTTGGTATGTTGTATTGCTTTTGGACCTTTTTTGTCATGCACATGCATTTTAATAGTCACTCTTTGGATTTCCTAATATTTCCACTGTTTAGCTGGAAGAAAATTGCACTGCAAGGGTTAAATGCTCATTACCTATGGGGAAGATGAAGAGACTGTATGACTTACCTCAAACCCCTCTCTGGCGGGCTTTAGCACTCTCCTTTGACACTAGGATATGAGTGGTCCCTTGGCATCACCATGGTCAATGCAGAAATATTAGTTCTGCATGGTTTGCAAAGGGGGGAAACTTGCAACAGTGACCAGGAGCACCCTAGAGAGCCTTTGCAGAATCAGTCACACAGATGGGGGAGCCTGCTGGATTGGGGAATAAGGTAAGTATTACTCCTTATTTCTCGAACCCTAGGCAAAAAATTAGCATTTAAACCTTGCCGTACAGGGGAGCCCTACTGCAAGATTTTTTTCTAGCTTGGAGTTTAACTTCAAATCTTTTCCTTTCTTGTCCATTGAGGGACGCAGGAAATCTTTAATGTTTGGGCTATACTGCCAGCTACAGGAGGATTGGATACGGGTAAACTAAATAATTTTAAGCTATCCCAGGTCAACCACCACCAGGGTGGATGTCTTTTCTACGGCTCTGCTGTGTTAAGACTAACTTAATTCTCTTTTTATTTCTTAATTTATTCAAACACTTTGTCCCTTCATTTGCAGCTTTCTGGCGTGGTCATCCTCAACCTGGCTTTTGCTGTAGATGTCTGGGCGCCCCTGGACTAGATGTGTGGGGTTAGCTTGAAAGTGATCTTTGGGGCATTGGATCTGGATAGGGTGCTTTCTAGACTTCATTCTGGTGGAAGTTAGCTGCAGAATGCTGTCCAGAACCGTAGGCATTGCCTCAGTGCTTGCCCTGTCTCTGAAGAAGTAGACTGGTCGGACCAAGCACAAAGAGCTAGTTTAGTTGCTGCGTGCCTGTGATCCCAGTTCCCACTGGTTTTGCCCTGAAAAGGGTTAGCACTATGGGATTGTTTGCTGACGTCTTCTGCTGGGTGCAGTGCCAGCCATATATAGATAGATCTATATCTTTATAGATAGATCTATATATATTTTGATGTAGTTAAAAAATGTTTGAGCTTGGACTGCAATTTTTTCCCCTTTCATAAATATGTAAACTTAGATCCTGCTCCCCTTTCCAACTGGGATTTGGAGCAGCATATAATATGATCCCTAAAAACTGTGTCACATTCATTGTTGTGTTTCCTTTGCAGGTCGAAAACAGGCCAAAGTACTATGGAAGAGAGTGAGTTTACTTTTTTTGCTTTGTTTATATGTATGACAGCTGTATGAACTTGTTGACCACAGCCATTGTAGAGAAAGTCAAACTGATTATCATTGCAAAGTCAATTTATGGTTTTTTAAAGAAAGAATGCTAGTGGAGACAGGCAGGATGTTTAAGGCTTATAGAGTTTTTAGAAATGGACAAGAAAAAAAAGAAACTAGAAGAGACTCTGATACATAAAAGGTTGGTTCTCAGACTGTCAAATTACTTCAGGTGTAAGGCCAGACCAGTAGGCATCTCAGCCCCAAAGGCTAGGCAGCAAGGCACACAAGTTGTAGCTAGACACTCAGGATACAGAACCTTTAAAAAGGATTTTGAGAATGGATGATATTCATATTTCTGGCAACAGATGCTTGGATGGCATGGTTATCACAATATAAATGTTTAATAGCCAATTCTACAATCTTAACAAGATTAATTTGAATATTAACATTGGTGCGATTGCTGATTCTTTTGCTTTTTTATATGTTATATATAATATATATATATATAACTTTGAATGGTGCTTTCATGTCACTTAGTATTCCAGACATTCTACATTCTAAAGAAAACTGCACAACAGTAGCTGTTTGTGGTCTGTCTCTCTCTAATTGATACTTCATTGAGACCTCTAGGGACAAGGAGATGGATTTATAACTCCTGATTCATTTAGCTGTGTATGCGCTGAATAGAACTGAACAGCAGATTAAGTGACACTCTTGGCATCACAGAAGTAAAAAGCAGTCTTCAGAAAACTGGTAGTCAACAGATTTAAGAGCTCCTCCTAAATGGCTAAATATGATAATTGTGAACTATTAAATGCAAATATTTCCATATTTACCTGACTAGAAGAAAAGTTTTGGCCCTTAATATAGTAATGAAAAATGTTTATAATGCTGAAAGTTTCTCTAAAAGCTATATTTACTTGATGAGTGGATGCTTTCAGGGCATAGAGCAGGAAGAATCCTTCTCTCTGCCAGGGGCAATAGAATTTGGCACCCGGAAAGTATCAGTTCCTGGACACGAATGCAGGTACCTGGAAAAAAAGACAAATACATGCATACTTCAGGCCAGGCAGTAAAAGGCAAGGGAATGAGGCACAAGCTAACTTGTTGCAAATGGAGCAAAGATCTTGTAGGTAAACCTTGGGCTTAAAGCACGTAAAATGCTGTTGCTTGCCCAACAAAGTTGGGCAAGCAACAAAATAGGCTAAATGTAAGGAGTCATGACATAATACAAGGTAGGAATAAGACGAAGCCAATGCAGAACTATAGGGACATGGACAAGGGCAAACTGGAAGCCAATGTCAGGCATTTAAAATCCAGGAGCAATAGGTTGGAATGCAGTGTCCCCACATAATATGCCGGCAATCCCTGAACGAGTGCCTCAGGAAATGTGCTAGGATAGAACCGTAGAAGTGGTCATTGCTGACTTGTAAAAAGTGGAGGTTTAGACTGTGGGGCAGCCATCCTGATTTTGACTGCCATACCTAAGGAGTCGATCACCTGAAAGCATGTAAGAAAGGAGTTTAGACGTAAATCTTCATTAGCGGCATGCATGTTTTATATCAGCATCTCGCCAGACAATGGCTCTAGGATCATAATTACCGATATGAAGCAAATGAACCTGTCTAAATAGGGCACTGTGACATGTATATTTGTGTGAGCACAGTGTCCCTAATAAACAAAGGACCCTCAGGGATCTGTTTATTTGGTGCATATTGCACATTGACAGTTCACCCCCGTTGCGTGTTCACTGTGCAAGGAGCTATAGCATCTAACTATCATTTTCTTCTCTCCCCTGTGATCAGAAAGTGATTGCTGGTGGGAGAGAGAGGGGGGTGCAGGCAGCAGAGCAGTGCAGAGCTGTTCCCACTCTCTGTGGTGAGTGACAGTATGGCAACTCATCACAGGAAAACTGTTGGCTGCCTTTTCCCCTTTTCTTCAACTAGGCAAAGGGAGGATGCAGCTTCTTTTGCCTCAGTTTCCCTCTGTTGAGTATCAGTACAGATGCTTATCAGAGATAGTCAGTCAGCCCAGTGTGCAGATCTCGGCCTGGTTAGGCCAGACACAGATCTGCAGATATTAGTTTATAGGGTACAGAAACTGCAACATTCCTTTGGCAAAATTAATTTGCAGGTTTTGGAGCACACGTAGCAAGTCATCTTTGACATAGGCTCACTATGTTGATGATGTGGCAGGCCAAGTGCGCATCACGTGTACCAAAAAGAAAAAGTCAGATTAACAATAGTTTGGGCCCTTTTATATTTTAAAAACCATGAAAATCAGTTGTCATGTTTTCTGTCCCCACAGATTCACTTTAAATACTTTCAGGGATTCCAATAGCAAAATAAGTTTAACAGAGAGTAGCATACATACTATGGAACTAATAGAAGATTGGTAGAGCGAGACTCATACTGATTCCCAAGTCTGATAAATCAGGAGATGACACAGAAGCAAGGCTGTAGCATTGGTTCCACCCAGCTCTTACTTTACATGCCCAGTAATGCTTCTGGCTTATTGTGGTGTGCCAATTGCATGCTAAATAATGATGCTGCACACTGATGAGTGTACTAATCTTATTCTCTCTCAGAACCACAATTGGATGTTATACTGCCTCCTCTTCGTTTTATTACACACTGCTGTGACAGCCAGCTTTGCAAAGCTGGTCAATAAGGGTAATAGACTACTACCATGCCTTCAACTTATTGTTTACTCATCTGGTGCGTTAGGCAGGTGATTGAGAAAGTTTTCTGGCAGTTAAATATACAGATGGCTTTCAGTTATAACACCAAACATTTGTGATCTCTATTTTCATAACAGGAAATGCAGATAAATGCTGCAGGAGGTTTATAAGTGAAAATCCAGCGAAAACGTGCTTTTTCATTTTGGATAGAGTTGGGAAGGGTTAGAACCCCCTGTGTCTGGCTTTCACTGACATATGGAGTCCTGTTAGAGATTTTTCTGTACTTTTTGCCCTGCTGACAACTTTTTTACCATACAAGAAGTGAGGGAAGTCTTGGATGGACATGTATTGATTTATTTATATCCAGGTTGTCTGAGTTTTGTTTTTTGGATACAAAGCTTACTTTTTAGACTATTTAACTGAATAGACTAGTGCAGTCTTACAGGTATCTCAATCTGCTGGCATGAAAATGTATACATTTGTTTCTGTCACCAGGTTTTTTGGTATGATATCCAGAGAAGAAACAGACCAGTTGTTAAGTGTTGCAGAGGGAAGCTATCTTATTCGGGAAAGTCAACGTCAGCCTGGCACCTACACCTTAGCATTAAGGTAAGACCTAACTGAACTTGTTTTCTTCATTAGGTAATACTATGATTAAACACCAAATGTGTGTTCTACTCTCTTTTATAAAGTCACTATATTCTTGCACACGCAGAAAGCAAAGTATAGGAGGGTCTACCTAAGCAGTCACATTTCTTTGCAGTTTAGTAATCCCCTCTCACTGCATAGTTGGTAATTCTAAAGGATGCCAATAAAGGATGCCAATACTAATTACCATTACTTTTTTCAGTGTCGTGACAGTTTTTTAAAACATTACAAACTAATAATTTTAGGACAGTGGTGAAGTGCCAGGGCCTAGTCCCAGCTGCAAACGCTGTGCCCCTGGTAGTTCTGCCACTGACTCCAAGATGTAGAGGGACTACAAATCTCAGCAATACATCATACAGCAGTGCAGAATACCACCAGCTAGAGAGGACTACAAATCCCAACGATGCATTATACAGAAATGCTGAATAATACCATCAGCCATATAGGACTACAAATCTCAGCAATGCAAAATGGCAACCGGCTGTAGAGGAGTACAAATCTCAGCAATACATAAATGTAGAATAATATGAAGCTACATATGCTGCCCTGGGGTGCTGACCTGATGTCTCCAGCAGAGGATCGCAGGTGGGCTGTGCGGGGTCCCAGGTGTGCAGTGTTGGCTCTGGGGTGGGTTGTGCAGACTTTCACCAGGGGTCTGGATGGTCTTGCAGGCGGCATGTTTCCAGGAAGGAGGAAGAGATGTGCAGCCCGTCGAGAATTCTCACACAACACTGGCGCTGTGAGGGAGGAGGAGATATGGAGGCCGCGTGGTTTACCGGAAGGCTGCCAAGTACTGGTATTGGCGCTCAAATACTTATGAAAATGCCCCGTATCAGTGCATCACTAATATATAGTGTAAAAAACACTAAAGTGTGTGAGTTTTCACATTTGTGTCCTTTTGTCAGCTTGAAATAAAAAAAATTGCATAATTTTTTAACAGTGTACCAAATATGTCCTTAAAATGTGAATTCTGAAGATGCCCTTTGGTCAGGGTATCCAAGTATCCATGAACTTTGGTCAGAGATTAAATGAATTCTGGCATTAGCAGAAACTTTTTACATGGTAGAGCTTTTTAAAGTTCTACCCTGGCCACAAGACAAAAAAAAAACCAAACAAACCCCCCTGTGAACACCCCCCCAAAAAACACACACCGCACTGCAAGGGTTGAATGCTTGTTTGGTCAAGGGGGTACAAGAAGAGGACATATTACTTATCTTACCCCTCTTTCAATGCATGCCAATGCAGGTACATCTGAAAATGAATGGGCGTGATTGAGAGCAGTCCACGCCAGTGTGTTGCGTTAATGTGAGCTGCCCTGCACTGAAAAAAAGCAGAGCCCGCTTTTTTTACACAAAGTCGCACAGTTTACAGGTAATCCAGGGCTGCCATTGGCACCAGGAAATTGTAGAACTAGGAGAGTATCTGCTGGTAAGAACACTCTTTTTACAGTGTGTGTTTCTTACACATGTTTATAATAATTGGTTTTCTGCATGCAATGTAACTTCAACCCTAATTAGACAACTTGTGGTTCTTTGGTGTTCCATAGAACTTTACAGTTCAAGCTGTCTTGCCTAGTAACATATTCTGCTTTAAATTATAAACAAGTTTTTTTGTGGCTTTGCCATGTGAAATTAAGCTTAAAGGAGAACTATGAGGCGAGTGCTTTTCACTCACCTCATAGTTCTAGCCGACCTGTGACAATGAGACTGTCACAGGTCGGCTCAGTAGATCGAGAAGTGAGCAAACTCATACCGGCGTTCGCTCACCTCTCGATCCTGTCACAGCTCTCTGCTGTAGCTGTAGCTCGCGGTATACTGAGCTAAGGGTGATTGAGGATGCTAGTTTGTGTCCTCCCGTTACCGTAAGGAGAACTATGGGGAAAAGCCCTAACCCCATAGTTCTCCTTTAATGATGCCTTTTCTGCATGAGAGTGTTTGTTTAATTACATATGGTTTTATTATTGCTTAGTTAGACAAACATCCTGAAAACAAATGACTGGTACAAGGCCTGCTGTTCTTTCTTATTTATAGAAACATTACACACATTTTGATGTTTCAAAACCAAGATATTAATACCCCAAGCCGGTTAGGGCTAATACCAAATATAGGAAGTGATGTCACAGGGAACTCCTTCCCCAGAGTTTCCACGGTGCTAAATTCTCTACTATCCTTGGAAACCACTTTATGTCCTCATAAAAACAATGTTTGGAGGAAAACTTTACTAGTGATAGCAACGTCTCTGCTCCTTATTTTTTTTCAGGGTGCCATTTACTTTTTTTTACCTGCGTGCACGGTGAACTGGTAAGTGTTCTCAGGGACCCCAAAACTAGTAAACAAGAAAGGGCAATACATTTACTCCCACCCCCCATTACGGTTAGGTAAATGGTACATAAGCCCTCTCTCTCTGGCACCTTCTCCTTGGGGTGCCATAGAACAGGAGCACTTTGTGAACAAATCACCTGTTTTTTGGGAAATCCCTCTGAAAGCACCCCCTTTCCTCCCAATGCTGAAGAGGGGCTAGTATCAACATAGCGGGGGTGCTGCATGTTTGTCGCTCCATTACCAGGAGGATACCAGCCCTCATACCTGGCATGCTGGGCTGGGTAGTTGTAAAGAAGTTAACCCCCTCCCAGTGCTGAAACTGACTATAAAAACCTTTTTGCACCATGGAGAGCTATTGCTGGCCGTTTCACGGCAGCTGTATTTCCCCCGTGAACATTCAGGATGTTAACATGGTGAAAATGACTGAAATGCAGGGCGATTGCGTCAAATCTCAGATGAATATCAATAAAGGATTCACTGAGCATATTTCCAAGTGATACCTTTCATTAATAGCCGCTTTGGGTATTGGTAAAATTAACTTGTCATATGAGAGGCTGTAATGTAGGGCATAAATTAACTTAAAGAGAAACTTTACCCATATCTTTAAAATAACAACAAACACACCTTTTAGAAATGTTTAGTAATGACAACCTACAAACAGATACATCTAGATAACGGCAGGCTTTGTATTCTTTGCATACCTTATTTCTCTTTTTTTCCAGTCTTCTGACAGTGGCAATGTTTACTGAGGTCAGATTAATATATATCCCTTTACTTCCTGGAACTCTGGCACATGTGACCATGCACATCCTCTCAGGGGAGGAAAATGCCTTTCCCTGAGATGTCATGAGATTTCCCAGCAATGCTCTGCTGATATAACCTTCCCAGGATGCAATGCTTTGGCACATTACATCATTTGTGCCAAAACTGGACCAGTACATGGTGGAGTTTGACAGTTTTGCATCAAGTCAGACTCCATTTGCACATCTTCATTTTAATCAATGTCAAGTGATATCTCAATTAAGCATTTGGGTCCATAAAGGATAACGGCAAGTTCTCTTTTTAGAGATTAAAATACATTGAACACAACATTGCAGCTTGCCCTTTTCCTGGTGACCTCACTTATATGCCACAGTCTTGTGTTATGTGTGTGTGTCTGGACATTATGTCTTAGCCTGCTGATATTTTATATTAAAATTGGATGTGGCCAGAGGTGATCTGGCCATTTAAAAATAATACTTACCTGGCAGGGGAGATATCATGATAACGAAGGTGGTTCTCCCAGGGCGAGGCTCATCCATTGCAATCCGGGTGTGCTGACCCCTGCGATTTTCCCAAATGCGCGAAACTAGACTGCATAGCTTGTGGTAGTGGGGGACTGCGTTTGTGCTTTCCCCTGAAAAAAGGAAAATGGAGACAGGAAGTGAAGGGAGATCTCCCCAATGGAGATACAGACTGCAATAAGCATCTGAGAAAGGCCTTAACATTTCTATGCTTTATCCAGAAAAAAAAACTTATGGCTGGGGTTTCAAAACCCGACTCCAGGTTTTCTCACTCCAGCCACCTCCATTTCCTCCAGATCTTCTTGTTCCCATCATCCTTCTTCAGCCTTTGTATAGCCACTGATGATATAACACCTGGCTCCATTCTGTACATCTTACAGACGGTGGGAATGAGTATACACTGCACTGTGCATGCACCACAGGCAAGGTACACTGTTGAAGAGTTTGTGAGTGAATGACACTGCCATGTAATGATAATATGACCACAGTGCAGATCTTCTGATTGTTTTTAGGCATGTAGATAAAGGTTGTGGTCTCTAGTTTGCGTTGCTCCTCCTAAAGAAAACTTTTCCTATGCACCCCTTAAGATGTAGATGTTGATACTGCATAATTAAACCTAGTCAGTCCAAGAAATTCAATCTGGATGGTTTTTGATTTTTTCCTGGCCTGTAAAGTTTGTCATTTTAGAAGCTTCTTGTGAATTCATATTAGTAGTAGGAGTATAAAGAAAACAATTAGTTGCTGGAAAAGTAGGTGTTAGTGTTTCAGAGCCTTCTGTTCTTTTTCCCAGAAGATGCCGATTGTTGTAAGCCTCTCAAGTTGCCATGGTTTCTTTCCCTTCACGTACGTGCAGGCAAGATTGGTTTGAAATGATTTTGTTCAAAAGAGGAGCTTCTTTTCTTGTGGAATTTTCACAGCCTTGACCCCACTTCCTTGCAAATTGCATAAGGACTTCTCTGGAAAACTTTCCTTTGATGGGAGATTAGACTAAAACGTATTGTCTTTGAAAACGCCTGTGTGTTGTGCAATATAAATGTAGTCTGGGATATTTACAGACGTATTGTCATACTACTGCCAAAACATATTACTCTACTACACTGGATCTGTGAATAATAATAAAGAAACATGGCACATACTTGGCTTTACAAACTTGAACCTTGGCATAGGTTTAAAAATGGTTATATAGTTACTTTTTGTGAAAAATGCATGTTAAAGCAAGTACTTCCACAGAAATAGAAAGCTGAAGTATTTGTATATACTATGGGGGGAATTTATTAAAACTGGAGCAGTTGCCCATGGCAACCAATCGGCTTCTCTTCAGTTTGCTCAGGTAAGATTTGAAAATGAGACAGAAGCC